GATGAAGGAAATTAGAAAAGACTCTGTGTGTGTGTGTGTGTGTGTGTGTGTGTGTGTGTGTGTGTGTGTAAATACCACTTATGTTAATATTAAGGTTAGAAGGGTACTACTAAAATGTCCATATCACTGAAAGTTACCTAGTCCCGTCCAGCAGATATGACACTGATGGAAAATAATTATTCATGACAAAAATAAAGTGAAGAGGCAAGAAGGAGCAGGCCACTGTTGCCACTGTTGAACCATTCTCAGCCTTCGAATTTATTGTGCGGGCAGTAGGTTTTATGACAAATGGAGCTAAGTAAGACAAACTCTTTTGGCCACTTAAACATTCCTCATGGTTATGTGATGAGCTAAAGGGTAGTTTCCTATTTCTGTGCCTCAAACTGTGCTCTACCTATGTGGCGCACACAGAACCCTAGCGTACAAGCATTCACCACATTCATGCCTCCAAGACCTCGGCCTGCATTACAAACATCCCACACGTACACAGCAGCTTTCTGCTGCTTCTTTACATTCATACTCTTTGCACCCATTCCTGCTTTCTCAGGTGGCTCTGACAAAAGCAATGTATAGGTTAATAGGTGACATGCAACCTCCATCAAAACACGTACGGCATTTGTTACAAAGCTAGAAAACAGTCGTGAAACTCATGGAAGCATTAGAGATCCTTGAATAGGCAAAGCTGTCTTGAAGAAGAACAAAGAGAGAAAAGAAAAGAAAAAAGCTGCACATCTCATGCTACTTGATTTTGAGACATGTTGTAGGTTTACAGTGACAATGTGGTCTTGTCATAAAAATGGGTGCAAAGACCAATGGAACACAATGGCGATGCCAGAAATAAACCCACACATCGACAGCCAAATGATTGTCAGCACAAGCACGGAACACCTCCAGTGCAGAAATAAAATGGTCCTGGGAAGACTGGGCATCCACATGGAGAAACTTGACCTGTCTCTTCTCTTACAAAAATCCACTCAGGCTGCACCAAAGACATAAATACAAGACTGGAAACTTTGAAACTACTAGAAGCAAACATCAAGATATTAATATGGGCAATGATCTTCTGAATAGAACCTATAAAACACAGGAAACAAAAACAAACATTGACAAACAAGATTATATTGAGCCTAAAACCTTGCACAGCACAGAAAACAGTCAACAGAGTAAAGAGAGAGCCCACCGAAAATATGTGTGAGATGCTCAGCTGGCAGGATTGTATAAGGGCAGAATATACAAGTAACTCAGAAAACCTAGCAAACAATTCAAATGGGCAAATTACCTGAAAAGCTACCTATGAAAAGAAGGCGTACGGATGGCAACAAATCCAGTCAATCTCATTAACATCGGGGAAATGCAACCGAAAATGATAATTAGATACCATCTCACCCCGGTTAGAATGGCTATTCTAAAAAATAACACATCCTAGGAGGGTGTGGAGAAAAGAGTCTTGCTATACACCATTGGTGGGGATGTAAATTAGTACCTCCATTATGGAGAACAGTAGATATAATGTGTGTTCTGGGTATGTGTCCGCAGGAAGAAAAGACAGCACACCAAAGAGACATTCCCGCCCAGGTTAATGGAAGCGCTGTTCACAGCAGCTAAGATAGGAAATGGGCCTCTGTACCCGTCAACAAGTGAATGGAGGAGGAAATGTGTTGTGCATCACAATGGAGTATTATTATCCAGCCAGGAAAGAATGAAATCCTGACATTTGTCGCAGGGTAGAGGGAGCAGAGGATATTATGTTGGTAAAATGAGCTGGACACAGAAAAGACTAGACCCACGTGTTCTTTCTTTTATATGTGGAAGCTGAAAAAGTGCGTCTGAATGTAGAATCGTGACGGCTAGAGACTGGAAGTGGAGCGTGGGGAGGGAGGGAGGGGAGGACAGAGGCTGGATTTCTCAGTGCACTTCGTATGCCTGTATGCAGATATCACACGGAACCCAATTAATATGGATTATTAATGCATATTAATGAAAAATACAGAACAGGAAACCAGACTTTGGATTTTAGGCTAGTGCCTTGCGGCATGACACCGTGGTGATGCTGGGCTGCGGGAGTGCATCCTTCCCTCCAGAGAACTATGAGTAAACAATGCTGTTCTGGGTTGCTCAGCTGCGGTGTTTGCTAGGCTAGCCATTGCTAGTGCATTTCGATGTTCTTTCTCATGTGTTTTTCAGAGGTGCTGGGGTTTGAACTCTGGGCCTCATGTTGCTAGGCAGGCAGCCTTCCTGCCGACCTACACCTTAAGTCCTCTTGTTTTTGTTGGTTTTGTTTTTTTGCAGATTATTTTTGAGTTAGGATCTTGCTTTCTGCCCAGGTGCACACCTGGGCCAGGCCCTTATGTGAGACTTCCTGCCGTAGCAAAGATAACAAGCGTCTACCACCATGTCCAGTTCTCCGAGGAAGAAGTGTGTCACAAACTTTTCTGCCTGGGCTGGCCTTGAACCTCAGTCTTCCCAGCCTTAACCTCCCAAGTAGCAGAGGTAGAGAGCCACATTCTCCGCAGGCCACGCGAGAGTGGGGACACAGGCAGATGAAGCAGGTGTGGTGCGGACCACATTGCGTGGCTCCTCTACAGTGGGCGTGGTCGCCCCCCTTTGGTGGTGGCATGAACTTCATGGGGAGAGACACAAGACAACGACTTCCAAGCTTATGCAGTGGGAGTCTTCCAGAGATAAGAACATGTGGGGGTTTCTGACCCTCAGAGTTCCCCTAAGTCAGAGAGGAGGTCTCTTCTCAAGATGGCTCCTAGCTACAGTACCCTGGGGCTTTGGGGAGTAGTGTAAATCCTCTCCCAAAGCCAGGTTCCCGCTCAGGTCTCAGGTCTTAGCTAAGAGGGCTGCTGGCCACATGGTCCAATGGCTAGGGCCATGGCAGATGCACTCATGTGCTTGTCTTCCTCTCCCTTTTGCCCTAACCCCTGCAGAGGGAAGGAGCTTCTTTCCAGCTTGGGTGGCAGATGCGGGGTGTTTTGTGTCTCTTACTGCGCTCCTGTCTTAGGCTTCTGAATCTGGTTCTAGTCTTGCTGACTTCCCGTGCTCTCCCGCACCCACCTGTCAGTGACTTTGGTTCTTTGTGGAGAAGGTGAGCGCTGGGCCTTCTGCACCGCTGTCAGGAGCTTCTGCTGTGCCCCGTCACTTGCACCATTAAGCAGTTGAAGGTTATCAGCTGGTGCATCACCAAGTCATGGACCCCATGTATAATATGATTGACTTTGAGGAACTGGCTCAGGTGATCCTGGGGTCTGGCCAGTCTGAAATCCCATTTCAGGCAGGGTGAGTTTCAGCTTTGGGCTGAAATTTCTGACAGAAGTTGATACTGTGGTCTTGTCTTTTCCTTTTATAGTCTTCAGCTGATTAGATGCAGCCCGCTATGTTCTGAAGCTAATCCATTCTACTTAAAGGTCTATTGACTTAAATGATAATTTCATTTTTAAAAAGGCATAGCAATATGTAAACTGTTGAAGGTACTTCTTCTTAACTTTTTTTTCTTCCTTTTATCTTTTGGGCAGTTGTACCAGAAAAAATAGGGTTAGCTTTGTGTAATGGGTTTCAAGGAAATGGTGCGTTATTTGCACCATTGAGAAACTTGTAGCATTGGGGATTAAAATGTACAGTAATCTCAGTACATCAGCCACTTTGTGTTTCTGGACTGATATAAACCTCTTACATGGGGAGGGGGTTATTTTATCGTTCATGATTTGAGGATTCAATGCATAGTCCTTGGCTCCATGACGAGGTAGAACATCAAGACATCAGAAACACGAGGCAGAGATTTCTCACCTTATGGCAGACAGGAAGTAGAAAACGACAGTAAGGCACTAGAAACAATCCAAGTATCTGTTCCCAGCTCCATACTTCCTCCAGTTGGGTTTTACTTCCTGTGGTTTCCAGAACTCCTCCAAGTAGAGCCCCAGCCTGGAGACCTACCCTTTAATGCATTAGCCTTTTGCGGAGAACATTTCATGTTTAAACCACTATAGTAGTTTTGTTCTAAAATAGAACACTTTATTGTAAAAAAGGAGAGAGACTTAATTTTTAGAGAGAAAACATGGCAGAGACTGGATTTGAACTATCCACCCTCCTTCCTAGTATGATACCATCAGTACAGTTGGTGACCAGGTGAAAAAGTGTCATGTTGGAGGAAATCCATGAGTTCAAATATAGTTTTATGAAATATTATATAATAGTTATTCAATATGTAGAAAGTATTCTTCACAATGTTGATTGTTTAAAGCATTTTAAATTCAAACTAGGTGCCAGTGACTCACACCTGTAATCCTTTCTACTCTGAAGGCTGAGTTCTAGAGAAGCAAGAATCAAAGCCAGTGCAGACTGGAGGCTTCCCATCTCCCATTAGCCAGCAAAATGTCAGACTGGAGGCCTGCCTGAAGCAGTAGAGCACCAGCGATGAGCAAGAAAGATGAGTGTGAGGCCCTGAGTTCAAGCCCTGGTTCTGAAAAAAATAACAAAAAAATAAAAATAAAAAGTAATAAAAATAACAAATCAAAAACATAAATCCTATCACATTTTACTTAACACTCAAAACTTGTTTTCACTCAATAGTCTTGAGATTCTATTGACTTTGCTAAACATGGATGTAATTAATTCCATTAGCGTGCTTAGTCATATAACCACAAGTGAATGAAAGGAGCCTAAAACAGATAGCTTAGGCTTTTGTTTTTAAGCAGAAAAAGGTTTCATTTTTTTTCCCCTCTAAACTGAATTCTAGGCAGGACCTTTAAATGAGATGACAATTGAGGAAGCTCAGGTTCTGTCTTCCAGCTTCTGTGTCCCACATCACCAAGTGTTTGCTAGCACCCTAAGACCAGGTGTGAAGGGGAGTGGAGCGCTGGCCACCTGGGTAACACCTCAGTGTGTCGCCGGGGGAGAGCCTGGGGAGATGCTGTTTTCTTCAGTGGCAAAGGCCAGCTTCATAAGCTCCACAGGATGTGGAGCTAATCGTATTCTGTTTCTCTGGTCTACCTGGGCAGGCAGGAATTTGTGGATGCCTATGTGAATTATGTCTTCCAAGTCTCCATTCATGAATGGTACACAGCCTTCTCTAGCGGCTTCCTCAAGGTGTGCGGTGGCAAAGTCCTTGAGCTCTTCCAGCCTTCGGAGCTGCGGGCCATGATGGTGGGGAACAGCAACTACAACTGGGGCGAGCTACAAGAGGTGAGCCGAGAAGCTGCATCCTGCCCTCGGGTGCGGGGGTCTCCAGCTGGGGAGGCCGAATACGAGTTTGGGCTATGAAGTGTGGTCAAAGCTAGCGTGAGCTCCACAGAGGATCCCTGGCTCAGAAAACCAGAGACTAGGGAAAGCAGCTTAGGGCTAGAGTGCTTACCTAGCATGCACAAGGCCAGAGGTTCAACTCTCAGCTCTGCTGAAGGAGCAATGGCTAGCGTGTGCACCTGGAACCTGGTTGCCTTCAAGTATGCTCTGTCTGCACAGGGTTCAGAAGTAGTCTGAGGTAGTTAGTTCTTCTTGTCAAATACAAATGGTATACAAGGTCCACTAGAATACTCTCTTTATCCTGTAAGACATATTCTGCTTTTTGTCTTTTCTTTTGGACAGACGGCCATCTATAAGGGTGATTACTCAGCCACACATCCCACTGTGAAACTATTCTGGGAAACATTTCATGAGTTTCCACTGGAGAAGAAGAAGAAGTTTCTCTGTAAGTAGTAGTAATCTCACTTTGGTATTTGTCCACGTTTTGATCTTAACTTAGAGTATGGGACAATGCATTCCACAGTGAAGATGTAGCCATTTTAAATTTACGTTTTATGTCTGAATACTATCGGTACCAGCTAAATCGGTAAGTTATATCTTTTCTGCATAACAGGGAAGTAAAAGGGAGAGAAAGAAGCATTTCACTGTTTTCATTTCTCTAAAAGTAATAGTTTGCCACGTGTGGTGATTCATATCTGTAGTCCCAGCTGCTTGGGAGGCTGAGGTACCAAGATCATTTGCACCTAGCAGTATGAGGTGGCCCAGTGGCCTTGTTCCTTCCCTCCAAGTAAACATGAGTACAATAGTTTATCTGAAGCATTCGTTTATAACAGGAAATGACTTGAATTAACCTTCCTTGTATCTCCCTTAAAAAAAAACAAACAAACAGAGCCACGTGCTGGTGGCTCACGCCTGTAATCCTAGCTACTCAGGAGCTGAGATCTGAGGATCACAATTCAAAGCCAGCCTGGGCAGGAAAGTCTATGAGATCCTTATCCCCAATTAAACACCAGAAAACTGGAAGTGGCGCTGTGGCTCAAGTGGTAGAGCACTTGCCTTGAGCTGAAGAGCTGAGGGACAGCGCCCAGGCCCAGAGTTCAGGCCCCACAACTGACCAAAAAAAAAAAAACACAAAAAAACAAAAAACCCAAACCAAAAAAACCATTGCAAGTCATAGTACATTGACAAGACATCTTATCTGCCTAGAAGATGTCTGGATCAGCTCTTCTGGTTTTTGGAAAGGAGAGAATAAAAGAGAGGAAAGTCGACCATAAAGGGAATTTCTTTTTTCTTTTTTCTTTATCTGTTGTGAGGCTTGAACTCAGAGCCTGGGTGCTGTCCCTGAGTATTTTGCTCGAGGCTAGCACTCTACCACTTTGAGCCATAGCTCCACATCTGGTTTTTTAGTGGTTCATTGGAGGTAAGAGTCTCATAGACTTTCCTTCCCTGGGCTGGCTTTGAATGGCAATCCTCATATCTCAGCCTCCTGAGTAGCTAGGATTACAAGTATGATCCATGTGTACTGGGCTCCTAAAGAGCCTTTCAATAGCTAGGTGGCACAGGTCTCAGGCATTTCCAGTAAGAGAAGACCTTGAGGCCCTTTTCTATCTTCTTTTTTTTTTGGGGGGGGGTCCAGTCATGGGGCCTGAACTCTGGGCCTGGGCGCTGCCGCTCATCTCTTCAGCTCAAGGCTAGCACTCTACCACTTGAGCCACAGCGCCACTTCCGGCTTTTTTCTTTTTGCTTATGTGGTGCTGAGGAATCAAACCCAGGGCCTCGAGCATGCAAGGCAAGCGCTCTACCACTGAGCCACCTTCCCAGCCCGCCTTTTCTATCTTCTAATGGAAGATCTTCCTTGCTTCCTATGTCAACCAATCCTTTCAGCTTTGATTTTGCCAAGGTTCGAGATGAGTATGGCGGCACATCTTCGATCGAGGCCATGTTTTCATGTGAGAGCAGTTCTGAGTATCTGCCCCTCCATTGGCTGCTCACACTCACACAAGCATAATTGTACTTTCCCTGCGAGCCACAGGGTGTCATGCCTTTCTCTCTGTTGCCTGGAGACCTCTGAGATCCACTGGCACAGCTGTGAAAGCCTTTTCTCCTTCTCCGCAGTGTTCCTTACTGGCAGCGACCGGATTCCCATCTACGGCATGGCCAGTCTGCAGATTGTCATCCAGTCCACAGCCAGCGGGGAGGAGTACTTTCCTGTGGCCCACACCTGCTACAACCTGCTCGACCTCCCTAAGTACAGCAGCAAAGAGATTCTGAGGGCTCGGCTCACCCAGGCCCTTGACAACTATGAGGGTTTTAGTTTGGCCTGAGGTTCCCCAGCGTGCCATAGGTGTCCCTCCCGTCCTTCCTCGGGACCCACACGAGGCCCAGTCAGAATACCGTGGGGAATGGTCTCTATTTTTTTATTATCTAAGTGGGTTGGGACTGGTAGATGTGTTTCCAGGTCCAGGGTTCTAAGTAGTATACAGCCTTTATGAAAAGTCAGGGGTTGGGGTGTAAAATTGGCTCTGGTCTAGGAGGTGGTTTGATGTGTTTTATTTTTGTTTTAAACCCAGTTATCCCAGTGTCCCTTGCACCTGTGATTGTGTTGCAGTATGCTGGAAAAACAAAACAAAACACAAAAGTGGCAGTAGATTTTTAAACTTCGATTTCTTAAGTGCTACCCTGACCTTTCCCCATAATGCCTCCTTGTCCCCAGAACTTCCCATTCCTCTACCAGAATGACTTTGCCTGACCTGTCCTCCTTACCTGTGCATGCGGATCGTCTCTTTTCAGCCCAGCCTGGGAAGCACCCTGGCTGATTTCAGCCCCTCTAAGCCAAGGAAGAAAGGACTACTTCAGAAACTTCCACTTCCAAACAAGTGGAGTGGGGCCCATTATTTTGGTGGAGCTGTGGAGCATTTCTTAGAGCTTTTACGAGCACGTCCTGTTTAAAAGAAATAACAAAAGTTCTGGAGGTAATAGCAACCTTCCGTGGCTGTGCCCACTTCCTAGGCCTCCGTGAAGATACGCAGTACAGAGTGGGATTGCTTTTGGACTCAATTCTCTTCTTTTGCTCAGCCACACCCCTATGGCAAGGTGGCGAATCAATTATCCTCCGTTTCTAAGCTAGTTGCATTGACTTCTAAAGAGTGTCTTGCCCAAGGAAAGTTAGGAATAAAACGTTTCCATCCCCTTTCTCCATTGTTCCATGTTTGCTACCATGTGCCCTCTCTACCCTGTCTCTTGTTTCCTGCCCTCCTTCCCATCTTACTTTATTTCCTTTCTTCTTTACTTCATTCTGTTCATTGTTACTTGATTTCTCAGATGCATGCTATGTGTTTTTTTTTTAATATTTTTATTTAAATTGTAAAGTTTCTTTCCCCTTCTTTAATTGTCAAGACTTAAGGACATTCTTGATGATGGTAGTTTTATCACTTTTGAAATGTGTGTTTACGGTAGGATTTGGGGGTGTTGTGTTTAAATTAAATATATGTATCCCCAAAATGATGTGCTCAGCCTCAGTCATCATGGGATAAGAAAATTCTCCATGATCAAAGATCTCGTGAAAGCCTAATTTTAATATTCATAGTTACTAGAGAGAAGTCTTACTTATATAAAATGAAGTATTTATGAACAGTGATATACAGCAGCAAGTCTTGATGAAGGATAGTAGATTTTTGCTTTTCCTTTTGGTTTTTAAAACTTAACTCCAATTGCTAAATCAGTAGTTTTTCAGTCTTTATAAATACAAGATTAAGAAAAAAAAGGTATACAATTATATGAGACGTTTATTTTCTATGTGTGTGCATATAGTTCAATATTATACAATAAATTTGGTGTTTTAACTTAAAATTATTTCTTATTGTGCTTGCTGAATGTATACCTTAACTGTAGTAGTCCCTTCTTACCTGTGCACGCCTATTGTCTCCTTGGGTGGGAAGGGAAGCAGAGAAGGAACAGATAGCCTGGGGGAAGAAGGGGATTTCTGGGAGTTGTGATAGTAGAAGCCAGCCTGGGCAGAAAAATCCCTGAGACTCTCATCTCCAGTTAACCAGCAAAAAGCCAGAAATGGAGATATGACTCAAGTGGGAAAGCAGTATCCTTTAGTGAAAAAGCAAAGTACCAGCACCATGTGCACACATTTACACATTCACACACACACACAAAGGAGGGCAAGTGAGAGGAAATGAAATAATGGGGGGACTAGGGAGGAAGAAGGTAGATTTGGTTTTGAAGAACAGGTTTAGCATTGGAACATCAGTGGGTTGGCTCTCCAGGATTTCTTTAAAAAGTTTGACCCTTGGGGTGATATAATCTGAGTTTGGCTTTAAGAAGGAAAGTCTGGATAGTTTAAACTTAGAGGGATTGGAATGGGAAGGACAGAAGCAGAGTGGGAGGTTGAGGCAGGAAGATTGTGAATTCCAGGACAGCCTGGACTACATAGTGACACCTTATCTCAAAAGAAAGAGGAGGGAAGGAAAAGGAAGGGAAGGAAGGAAAGGAGTAGGGAGGGTGCACATGTGCGTTACACATACACATAAGTCAAACCTTATTGCTGCATTTTATAGACAAATTTGTGAGTTGTGGGATCCCTAGGTCCCATGGGAACTATGACTGAGTGTGTGAAGAACGAATGATGTCAGTAGAAAACTGCTGGTTGTTTGTTTATGCTATGGCTCAGTAAAGACACAGGATTATGAGAGTCTGACTTCTGCAGTAATCCTGTCAAATGACAGGAAAAGAGTCTCTGTGAGCTTATCTTATTGCTTCCAGATATCCTGTTATCCTCTTGGAATGTGCCCTTTTGATCTATTCCTGAGATTCCTTCCCTTAAGCTATCAATGGGACAGTCTGACCCTATAAAACTGGAGAACAGGGAAGATATCTTCAGTTTAATCATGCCTGTCAGTTAAACTCATTCCTTGCCTCGTGGTGCTATTAAAGTCAATGAAAGGACACTGCACACATATATTCTTCATCTTGTCATCCTGGTATCTGCTGGATGGAACTGGCTAAGTCAAGAAGGGGAACAGAAGAACATTAACCATATTTAGTTTTCTACTGAATCCCCCATTTGGGGCACTTTGTTGGGGTAGGTGGTTGAGAGGAACTTAGAATCTGTTCATTTCATTCTGACCATCGTTTGAAATAAGTAAATAGTAGTTAGAGAAAAGGGTGGGTAAAGAAGAGCATGTGTAGAATGTAGAGAAAAACAGATGGAAGGTGATGAATGAATACACTGCATAGGGATAAGCACAGGAGAAAAGGGAAATAAAGCCAACGCTGATCTGCAGGATTTCATCGTTCCTGTTTATCAAGAAATAGATATGTTGGTTTTCTTTGGCTTTTAGAATGAAACCAAGCAAATTATGTACATCTAAGATTAAACAGTCTGACAACACGATGCTCATTTTGTCATTACTTTCCCTTTCTACAGAAAGGGGAAGACTTACCTGGTGCTGGCAGTTCACACCTGTAATCCTACTACTCAAAGAGACTGAGATCTGAGGATCCAGGTTTGAAGCCAGCCCCGCAGGACAGTCCTGTGGGACTCTTGAATAAACTATAAAAACAGAAGCGTGGTAGTGGTGAGGGGCTGTTTCAGAAAGGATGAAATTTCTCGTATTGATGGGACTAAGGGACTTCCCCCCTTGGAAGTGACAGAGAACCTTCCGTTGTGCCTGCCCGGCACAGGCGGTTGGGAAAGAAAGATTAAGCAACTCCATGAGAGCTGAGCCATGTGAGACAGTGGCAAAGATTGATCTCTGACTCCAAATTTCCCCTTGGGGCTACTAACCTTCCAGGGTAGATAGGGCTGTGTCCACCCTGATCCAGCTGTGAATTAGGGTAACACCTGCCATACCTTTGTCCTGAGGTACCAGAATATACACCAGAGTAGGTGCCAGAAGCGATGTCCACCCCATTGTGGACAGACTCCTTGTCTCTGTATTAATAACAGCCTCTCCTACGGATTAGCCAAGGCAGGCTTTCGTACTTTATTTTCTTCCAAAATAATGGAGTGTATACGCCTTAGTTATATGTAGCACCAAGAAAATTAATTCAGATGTCAGCTTTTTTTTTTTTTTTACCCCCAGAGTGGCTGGTGCTTGGCAGGGTCTATAATCACATGGTCTTCAGATCTTTTAAAAGCTGATTTTCCTCAGCCTAATCCCATGGGAGTTAGGTACAATTTATGATAATTATTGATTCAGCTCTCCCTGGCGCTGAACTTCCTGAGAAACTTTAAGAATTAAAATACACACACACACACACACACCACAGATGGAGCCATGGTTATATTTTCTTGAGGATTAGGAGAGGAAAGAAAGCAAAATATGAACTCTAAAATATCCCCATTCCCTGTGGGTCATCGGAGTCTGACAAGAAGAGGACAAAAGTCAGTGGCAAGTGCCAAGTAGGTACTGGCTTATGTCCCTGCAGGGCTGGCTTCCACAGCCAGCTCTTCTGGTTCAAAATAGGTCTCTTGACCTTTTATGCCCAAGCATTCTCAGAAGCTCAGATGTTTGGAAACTAAGTTCAAGGACTCTCAAGTTCAAGTTGCTGGCAGACTTGGGGAGGAGACTAGGGACGTAGAGCTTCTAAATTCCTGAGCTAATGAGGTTGGGAGAGAAACCTGCTTCTGTGAGACTGTAACATCATTGGACTCAGCGAGCCGGCCCTGCTGCTGGCCTTGGGAATGTCCCCCCTTTCCCCCACGTATGTCCCTCTTGAAGATTGATGAGAGATTGGAGGACCCCAGGGACTCCTCCAGTCTCAGCCCAGGCCAGGGGTGTTGATGAAATTGTGTGTGTTCATTAGGAGGCTGCCAAAATGAGCAACCCCCCTCCTGAGGGGACATTTTGTTTTCAGTTGTTAAAAATACACCCCGATACAGAAATTTTAGGACATGTACATAATCAACCCAGAGGTGATTCCATTCCTTTCCCAAACCCTCGCAAAACTCAGACACTGCCACATCAGTATCCGCCACCGTCTCAGACAGCTGTTCCTACATGTCTGAGCAGATCTGGACCTCCCAAAATGATGTTGGGGTGAAGCAGACTTAGCAGGGCTTGCCTTGGGCTACGAGGGAAGGGATTTAGCAAGCGGGAGTCCTTCTGAGAGCAGCGCAGATCTGCTTGAGAATGGGCATCATCAGAACGTCTCCTTTCCTCAAGAGATGGCATCAAGATCCTGTGTTCTATTAGTACCAGCGCGTGCTTAGAAAGTGCTGGATGTGTATTTTCTGACCTATCAAACAGAACCGGAGGGGTCTGGGAAGAACGATGCCAGGGATGCCTTTTGTGAAGGGATTCGAAATACATTGCTGGACTAACTTCAAGACAGGAAGAATCTTTGTGTCGGTGCTGACCCGGCAGCGTTGTCTCCTGAGGACTTATTCTGTGGTCACTTAATAGTCATCCAAGTGAATTTTTATAATAACCTAACTACTTAGTTACTGTGATCATTCCCTTTTTTTCCCACATAAATAGCAGCCAGTTGCAGCGGTTCACTCCTATAATTCTAGCTACTTGGGAGATGGAGATCAGAAGGATTGGGGTTGAGGGTCTCAAGACTTCATCTCAACCAAAAGAAAAGCTGGATATGGTGGTGCACACCTGTGATTCCAGCTGCATGGGAATCATGAATAGGAGAATTACCATCGTGGGCAGCCCAGGCATAAATTTGAGAGTGTTTTTTAAACAATAACTAAAAAAGCCTGGTGCTGATGGCTCACACCTGTAATACTAGCTACTCAGGAGGCTGAGGCCTGAGGATTGCAGTTCAAAGCCAGCCCGGGCAGGAAAGTCCGTGAGACTTATCTCCAATAAACCAATCAGAAAATTGGAAGTAGCATTGTGGCTCAAGTGGTAGAGCACAAGCCTTGAGCTGAAGAGCTAAAGGACAGCACCCAGGCCCAGAGTTCAAGCCTGCAACCGACAAAAAAGAAAAAAAAAGGACTGAGGACGTGGCTGAAATAGCAGCGTGCCTACCTAGTAAGTGAAAGGCTCTGAGTTCAAATTCTAGTATTGCCTAAAAGAAAAAAAAAAGATGATAGCACGGGTAGAGTTAGGCCATGTGTGCAGTGTGGCCGTCACCCATCAAGAAACTCAGCCTGTGGGTGGCTCGTGTGCTGGTTAATATAGGGTGTTGGATTGATCAGAGGAAGTAGTCATTTCCTCCCCCCGGATGGGATGCAGTCTGGCCCCTTGTTAAGGTGAGGTTTTTGGTCAAGCATCATGGCTACCTGTACCCCAGCACCCAGATGTTCATATCATATCCTCCTCACGGCTCTCCGAGACCCTCCCTCATTCCCGTCCCTCCCCAGTGATTTGTTGTTGTTTT